TAAAATTTCACGAATGAAATTCTTAAAAATTGTCAAAAAAGTAAATTCAGTATTAAAGATTCCGAGACCTAATATATCTCAAAAATTGATTAAACCGTCTCATTCTCAAAGCACACCCATATAAAGGGAGAAATGCATTTCAGCCGAAAACTCGACATGCGAAATTTGGTTCCATCACTTAAGCTCTCCTCACTAAAAATGTTGTTAGTAATATAAAAATACGGTTTACGGTAGACTCGTCACCTACCTAGTAAACTCAATGACGTAAAAAACTGGTTCATGGTTATCTACAATATCATGCACCAGCCCTATGCTTCTCCAAGGGGCGAAGTAGGAAAAAAAGAAATGTAAAAATACTAACAACTTACTACAAGAAATTTATTTGGGCGTGCAACAGATGTGATAGAAAAGCGTTCTATTTCGTTTTATTAAAGATCTTTAATATTCTAGAATGCTTATCTAACAAATTTTGAGTGTTCAATATTTTTTTCAAATGTTTACATACATAAACAAAAATTTATTTTTTTCTATTAAATCACTTGACTTTGTTACCCTTCAAAACGAATAAACTTTTGAATTTTATATTTTTCTAGATCATTTTGTCAAAAGAAAATTATACAAATGATTTTACATACAACATTGTAAGTCAAAATTGTTTTTTATGATTTCCTCTTCTATTTTCAAATACATTCACTTCTGATAACCGTCAATACCATAACAATAGTAATCTTCGCCAATATTTGGCAATATTTAAATAATTAATTATGTAATTATAATTTGAAACCATTTTTTTAATTGCGTTCAATACCAATTATTTCTTCCTTATGAGATATGTATGTATATGTAATATTTTATTAAATAATTTAGAAAGCCAACTCGGTTCATTTATTTCATATAGAAATTTCGTCAATATTAGTTATTATTTATGTAAGTATATTTAGTAAATCATTTTAACAAATCTTAATCTTTTTTAGTAGATTATCAAGACCTAAAATAATTTATTAATTACATTTATGATAAAATTAACAAAATAAACATATTTTTGTAGCTACTACACATAACGCACGTACAAATAAATGCTTACAACAGCACGTTTTGTTGATTACCTCGAATATCAAACACAATACCAAGAGGGATCCATTGAAAGTGGAACGGACACTTGAATTTATATCAAGTAATTTACCAAAAATTACTAGTAAATAATCAGCTCTGTAATTTTCTTGAAAAAAAAAACCCGATTTGGTAAAAGTCTTTAGAATTGGTCTTTAAAAATAAGTTTAGTACCAAAATGGCAATTTTAGACATGTTATTTATGGCTTTATCGAAGGCCTTTAATAATACATTCCATTTCTTAAAAATCGGATATTTCTTCAAAAATTGCCTTGTTTTGGTATGAAGGGGGTTTTTAATTAAAAATAGGTTATAACGTATTTACACAATCTATCGCAAGTGAAAGTATCAAAAATAAAATATCATGACTTAACATGTTTACGTATATCATGAGTTAAAGTCAAAATGCGAAATATTTCTATATAGTATAAACGGCAACAGAAATGCAAGTGAAAGTTTGTTCAACTGCAACTGCTTGGAAAACTGAATATATTCGCAACCTAAATATTATAATTATCTACTAGTACTGGTGATATTATTTTAAAATAACACATATACAAATTTTGCAGCTAGAGCATAACACATATTATACAGCATTTTTAGCAGAGACAATTTTAGGTTTAGCACATTACTAAATTTATCGTAAAAAAACAATTCTGAATTCGCCTGTACTTATGCTATTATGATGCAATTTTTTCAGCAATATGCTTATAATTAATTTTTTGAGGTAACATTTGAAATATGTTAGTATGTTGAAAATACGTTATATTATGTATGTTAATTTCAGTTAATTTTAATTTTCTGCTGCATATTTTTATAAAAGGCAAAATTATTTTGAATAACTCTAATACATTCTAATAAGTACTTTACTTAAAATGTAAGATCAGTTCTAGTGGTTATATTAACCTTGAACAAGTTGTCAATCATAGTTGAATATGAGAAAATTTGATTTTCATCGCAACATTATTCATCATAAAATTATTGGTAATAAAGTCAAAAATAGTAAAGCATTTCTTAAAAGTCCATAATCCTGCAGTGGAGGTACTTATACTTAAATTTTTTTGTTAGGAGTAAATTGAGCTTAAATTTTATTTGGGTTTTGTAATTTTTTCCCTTACCTTAAGAGCGAGGCCCAAAAATACGAATAATAAGTAATTACTAATTATAAATTATTAGTAAGTATCATAATTATTATCAGTATTATTTATAGTATATTATAGTTTTGCAGTTCACGGTTGGTTATGCTAGTAATAAAATTGATATTTGTTCGCAAATAATTAATAATTTATCGAAACCATTCAATCACATCTTAGTTCTGGGAAATCAATATAAACAACTTTTTTAATTTTAATTAAAGTTTTATTCACAATGTAACGTAAAATATAAACAATATAAACAAACGTAAAAAAAATAAAAACGTCTATTCGAGTACTGACTAGAAAAATCAATTCATACATATTGACATAATCAGCACTTATATTAAGCTAAACTCTTGAAATTGATAACTCTATTCACTAATTTCAAAACTGTTGAAGAATCGTTAGAACTCTGTTAATTGTATCAACAAACTTTGAACATTTTAATAAAAGTTCAAGAGCTATTGATTAACTTAAAAATTCTTTTATTAGAATGCATATAGAAACACACGAGTGTAAATAATTTGAATTACTTTTGCTTAGATATTTCTATATTTCATTGGACTACCAACATAAATAATTTTAAGCTTTAAAATTTGACTCTTAAAAATTTGAATATATAGTTAAGTACTGGTAAACTAAAAAATGTACTATATATCAATACAGGGTGTTTTGCATAAGGCGACAAATAATTTCAGGGATGATTCTTTGATCAATTCCCAGTAAAAAATTTTATCAGTGGAGGGGGAGTGAAGATATACTCGTTTTCGGACTACAGTCTATTAAAAAAAGAAACCAGATTTTTCCTCCATGCATTGATTGCTCAATATATTTGGTTTTACTATCAATTTCATTTGAGTTTTTCTGATACCCTAAAACGACTTAGCTCTCATAACTAAACGATATAACATTTTTCTTTTTCTCTCACAGTTTTGCCAGTAAAAAGTGTTAAATGTGTTTAGAAAACATGGAAAAAATTTCATACATTAATTAAATTTCTATTATTTACTTAATATAAAAAATTTATAAGGTATAAATAAGGTATAAATAAAAGTTTTACTTTAATAAATAATAGTTTCTGATTTATACAACATACATAATATACATATATATATATTATAACTTAAAACGTACTTGGCATTAGGATTTTAGTTTATAATATGCAGCGAGTAATTATTTACGAATATAAGTCCAGATCAGCGCAATGATTTATAAATTTATTAATTATTTTATTTATTTATTTAATGTTTAATTCACGTTATTTTTAACAAACAATCTTCTACATTAAATTATTATAATTACATACGTAACATACATAATAATATACCAAAATTGTATAGCGCCACAAACATTTATTGCATACATTTAACATTTATTGCTTACTTTTAATTCTTTTAACGTTTAATAGGTTTAAAGAATTAAACGTTAAGAATTAAACGTGCTTGTCATTAACACAATAACATTTTGTTCAAACAAAATCATATAAACATTTCTACGAACACTTGAAAGTTTAGACTTGGACAGCTTACCCTGCAAGATTTCAACAACAGGTATTATAAAACATTAAAAAAATAAGTCTAAAACAGCTATAAATTTTAATGGACGTTTTGTCATTGTATTGCGGTGTTAGTATTCCTTTTCCTGTCTCTTGAAACTTGGGTTGTTTTGTTTTATATAAGATGCCCATTATGAACCAAGAGACAAACATTAAAGTACAATATTATTTTGTAAATAACATAGAATACTTTACCAAATTTTATGACTATACGTTTTTCATAATAAATCGAAAAAAAACATTGATAATATTGTTATCTGGAATTTAGATTAATAAGTTACTTTAAATTTATTTAGCATTTGAATTGTAAGGGAAATAAAAATAATGAAAACTGTAAGCGTGACCAAATATTTATGTTTATACAAAAATGTTCATGTAAACTGATATGCTAATTAGTTTACGAATTTATTAAAATAAGTACATATTGTAGGCATTTAAAAATGTACAAGTATATACATATGTGTACCTATGTAAACATTTTGCTTTAAATACATGCTTTTGCCTTCCGTTCAATCTAGTTTAATATGTCCTGCGTTTACATGACTTTCTAGTAATATAAAATAGAATATAGTCAATAAAGACGAAATCGCTAAATGCGGAAGAAATGGTTTGGATTGGAAATAATTTCGTGTTAAAAGTCCAAGATACAAATGTACATAGAAATTTAATTCTAATGATAAATAGGTATCTACTATTACTACTGAACGGAAAATAAAATTTTGTTTTGCAGAGACTTACTTGTAAGGTAAGTACGAAATTTTTTACATAATTAGCAAAAACTTTACATCTCTGATTTTAGAAAAATTGTGTTTTGTATGAATATTAAGGCCTACAATAGTACCTATTTATCATTTAAATTCACTTAAATATTTTTGAGAATTTTTTTTTTTTTTAATTTTAAATAAAAAATAAATTTTGGTGTAAGGGTTTTTCAAATATTTGCAGATTGATAAACAATATCCAATGTGTATTAATAATATATCCCAAATATTATCAATTTGGGTCATTTAATTTGTAAATATTTTATGACTTATGCAACTTTTTAAATAAAAAGGTGCACAAAACGTTTTTCGTTGTAGTTCTTCATTTCAATTGATCAGTTCATAAAGGCTTTTCAATTTTATAATTATACATTTTTAATAAAATGGAATTAAAATGGTTAATAATTTTAACATGTTTTATCATTAAAATACAAGCCATTGAGGTGGCAAATGAAGAGGATAAGAAAATTAATCAAATTATCGATGATCTGTGTGTTATTCCATGTCCAAAAATAATAGATCCAGTTTGTGCAACTGATGGAAATATTTTTAAATTATTTAATAGTCCTTGCCTAATGATTCAACATTCATGTGAAAGTAAAACAGGTAAAAAATTAATTATAGTTATTATTCCCCGCTATATTAAAATGGAAACTATAAGTTATTATTTGTTCTTATAAATTTAACAGATTGGTTCCAAATTGAGCTGGATAGCTGTTCAGATGAAAGTATACCATTAGGAAGAAGTTTTTGTGAAAAACCTTGTCCATTTATTTATTTTCCGGTTTGTGGTCATAATGGCAAAATATCAAAAATTTTCCCTAATCAATGTGTCATGGATGTGGAAAATTGTTATTTAGAAGAAAGTGAGTTGCAAAAAAAATAAATCTATATAAAAAAGAAGAGTATATTTACCTTTAAATACTTGTATTTTTAGAATTTGTTATAACAAAATTGGCCGATTGTTTTAATGTTGTACCAGCATAAATATCCTGCAAAAATTTAAAGATAATTGCAAATTGCATATGTCTTTTACAATTGTATTATTTTGAAAGTTAAAGTTGTTTCACAAAGTACAAGTACTTAATTAAAAATATATTATATTATTCCAATTTTTTCATTGCATTTAGGTATTTATTTGTTTTATTTTATTGCCTTAAATTTACAAATTTAAAACTGAAATCGAACAAATCGTTTCATCTTTATAAGAATACAATTTATTAACTTTAAATTTATAAATTCAAACTTTTCCAGATTGATTGAATATTCAAAAATCTCATAAACTTTTGAAGTATTTATATATTTACTATATTTTACATACATTCATATAACATATGCACACTACTCGTATGTTGGAACCACAATTTAAATTGCTTTTATAAAATGTATGTTATTATTTAAATAACTTGAAAAAATATTATCATTTAGTTTTATTATTCAATAGTATTAAATATATAGGTAATTTGATATTTTTTAGCTTACACATTCTCAAATTCTTATCACCTAGCTAGATCATTTCTCTGTTATCTTCAACTTTATAAGTATTATTGTTTTAACACACTAAGTATTAATTGCAAATTTCATTTAAATACAGCACCAAATATTAAATTGAATTACTTTAAATAAAGTCGACAAGGTTTACTGTATTGAAGCTTCGTAATTAACAATTCCGCTAATTTATATTAAATAGCAAAATACAAAAAACTCAAAATGAAGAAATATTTAAACGTTTTTACCATTATTTTAATATTTTTGTTGTTTAATTTTGTAATCTGCAAACCATATACGGCACCAAATGAAACCATTTTAGGTGTAGAATGCCCTACTTTTTGTCCAATGGAAGATGAGTTCAGGCCAATTTGTGGATCAAATGGTAGCGTTTATCGAATTTTTGATAGCGAATGCTTTGTAAAATTACAGACATGTATTGACAAAATATGTAAGATAAACAAAATAAAAAATGTTTTCATTTTCATAAAAATTCTATTTTTTTCCAGATTGGGATGATGTGCCAATGTTAAATTGTTTATCAAAACCAAACACAAATTGATGAAGGATAAAGTTTATAAAAATATTAATTAAATTATTATAAAATACTCATATTGAGTTTAGGTCCAAATTGAAGAGGAAGTTTTAAACTGCAAAGCTTTTATAGTTATATTAAGTATACCCAGATTACTTAAACGATATTTGAAAAAATATTTAAACAAATAACAAAAAAAAAAAAAATTTAAAAAAAAAAACAAAAAATATTTAAAAAAACCATTACATATGAACATACATGTTAATAAAATAATATTATATTCAAGATGTCTATTTTACATTTTTTTTTAAACAAAAAAAACATCACAGGAATTACTTTTTTTGCTTATATGCTTATGATAATAAAGTTTAATTTTAATTTTAGATTAAGAGCCTATATAGTTTACGCACTGAGCAAAAATAAAGTAAGTGAAGTGACTATCACAAATACGTACATAAATTCATATATGTATATTCTGACTCAAAATTCCAAGTTCCAAGCGTAAATTTATTCCTAAAAAACAAAATATCACAAAACTTTTCTTCGCCTGGCAACAAAAAGTAATATTAATTGTCAAGAACAATATAAGTTTTCACTAGTTAATGTACAAGGTTGTGTACGGATGTTTTGATGTAACAAAGCAAAATTTTGTTCTGTTGCAGCAACTATTCTCCACAAAAACGTAGGTAACGTAAAATATACATATCTTATACATATTTTGAAGGCTTTGGCAACTTCATGTAATCTAATGGAACGTTACATTTTTACAGTGCTTTTTAAGCAGCTTTTTACACACAACGATTTGAATGAGATTTTCATATAAATTCAAATTTAATATAAAAATTAGACAATCAAAAAGTTTCTGTTTTTAACGGACATCCAAAATAATTTTATTTTCAAACAACTCACTTTTATTATCGAAGTTAACTTTGCTGTTTGAAAGTGTTTACCAACTTCAATATTGGCACAATATTTAAATTTTTAATTTACTACAATTATTTACTTTTATAATTTTTACAACCTCGACCCGTCCTTTATGCAATTTTTTTACAATATTGATGAAAAAATTATATTTTTTTATATAAACTTTTATATTCTCTTTTATATTTAAAAAAAAAAACGTTGTATGTGAAGTGACTTCAGCCAGTCGCATCTATGCTTTTTATAACTTAAAAATTGTAAAATTGCCTAAGTAATGTCTTCTTTCTACTGTCTTTTTTTCGTTACACGTTCGTATAAAAAGAAAAACCTTGATATCAAAATTAATTCTTGTTTAAAAATGTGATGAAACCAATATGATAACAAAATTTATGCAAGAACAAAGTGGGTATGTAACTACTACAAAATTAAAATTTGTGAAGAAAATTTGTTTGACAAAATATTCGAAAACTTATGTTTGCCACCCACTATTCAACTTGGTCAATCAACAGGTTGAAAAACACGTTGATCAACATTGTTTTAATTTCTTCAAAATTACATATGTAGTTTCACACAACATATAAAGTTACGCTCCCAAAAATTGAACTATTTAATATTTCTTCAACTAAGTTTCAACTATCAAATGTTTGAATAACTAGTCCATTGAACGTGTTGAAAACTTGCTATATTTTCAACGTGTTGAGGGACCAAGTTGAATAAAGAATGGACAGTATTAAATAAAAACATTCACAATGTAATATAAATTTAATATAATTTATAATTATTTATTTAACTTATTCTATAGTATTTTTTTTTCCTTCTTCACTCCTATAAGGAGCATAGGGCTAGTTCATGATATCTCTATCATGTCCTAGTTTCTATAGTCATAGAGAGTTAGCTAGGTAGGTGACTAGCCTACCGTAGTTTTTATTTATATTAAATATTTCCGTTTATTATTATTTTACTGCTTATTTTTCTTAGTCTTTTTAGTGTCGCATATTATGAATATTTGAAAATTACTTGTATAAATTTATTAATATTGCATGTTAAGTTATATAATATTGAATTCTAGTTTAAGATTCTATAGTATACTATTCTTGAATTCCATATTGTGAAATGTTTCCACTACTAAGTTTAATTTTATATTATGTTGTACATATGTCAAAAATTTTCTACAATATTACATTATTCAAATTGTAAGTATACCATCAACGCAGCAAAAGTACAAAAATTGAAGTTAAAAAATTTTAGCTGTTTTATTAAACATCTTAAAACTGATATGTTAGGTACTGAGAATTGCCGCCATTTTACTTTTAAAAAACCTGATAAGAAAGACGTAATTTGTATTATTTGCCGTCAGACAAAGTCTTATGTCAAACAATGTTTACGTGACTTCAAAACTTAGATTTTGTTGTGTATGTAAACGGTATTCAGTTTAAAGGCGGTACCATGAAGTAACATTTAAAAAAAAAACTTTTTGCTTTCTATATTCAGCAATAAAATGTACCAATTGTATATAAATGGAAATAATTTACTAATAATTTATCTTCAATTGTAGCTTAAAAGTTGACAGTTATCTTATTTTTGCTTGAAGTAAAAGGATCAAAGTTTTTCATCTTCACTTTATTCAATGTATTCTTCTTTATTCAAGTATTTGAACTTTTTAATCGTTTACATTAAAGAATTTGTATTTACTTCCATGATGCATGAAGGATATATAAGTTGTCATATGCAGTTGTTTGTTTTTCTTTCCTGTATGAATACAAAACTGTTACACTATGATAACACCGATGAACGAATTATGAGTATTGAATTATGGTATACAGTTATTCTTCCTTGCGAATTTTACATTACCACATTGTCAAACTAGCAAATTCAAATCTCAATATTTTGGCTTATTTCTTTTTATATTAATTTAATTATAACTAAAGTTAATATGATCATAAAAACTTATTGAATAGTATTATTGCTAGATTGTAAACAAAAGGCTTGTGGACCAATTTTGTTTATGTAAAATAACACCAGGTGGATTGACAAAACACGAATTGTATTTTCCTATAAGTGCAGCTCCAAAAAAAATGTCTATAACCGCCTCTGTCATGCTTTTGTACGTCAAGTCAAAAAAGTCAAAGAAAAAGTTTTTAAGGAGCGTCAATTTTCGCATTTTTCTATGTAATATTTTTTTTTAACTAAAAACATAACACGAAACGGTAATAATTCTTATAATTATAGTTTGAACTAAATTACAAATTACAACTCAAGTAAAAAAAATCAATCTCAAATTTTTGTGGATATTAACGAAATATTTAATGAAAAATGTCTCCCCATCCTGTCTACATTGAAGAATAAAAATGTCTGCAAGATAATTTAGAATTTCTTATCAACTAAATTCTGACAAAATTTTTTTCAAACCAAAAACATTTGGAAAAACTTTTAGACATAATTTCTTAAATTATCAGTGAAGGAAGAAAAGGGCCTTAACACAATTAGAAATATTTAAAATGGCTATATTTAGACACAAGAGAAGTACTGTTCCAAAATTACTTAATTTAATATGATTAACTTATTTAAAACATGTATTTCATATTAAACTTCATACTTAAAAACCAAGTAGTATAAAAACTCTTAATAACAAGAGTTATTCAAGTACACAAATTGATTGTTCTATGCTATCTGTTAAAAATCAATTGCTTGTTAAACGACAAATAGTGTGGTGATGGTGGTCGCAAAGCCCCATTCGAATACAATAGTATTTGGTTTTTCGACTTCTCATTGTTTTATTTTACAATTCTGAACTCTCATAACAACATACGAGTATTACAAATGCTAAATTGAAAATGCAGCATTATTTTAAAATTATAATGTGTTTGTTTTAGAATTAAAAACTGAATTATAAATGTGGTTACTTATTGCATTAAAAAATTTGTTAGACTCACATTTGTTAAGTACACACGTAGATACCTACTTACCTATCTATACCTAAAATAAATAGCAACGTAGCATAACTGCACACTTTACAATTTCTCAGTTCTATTATTTTTTTTAAAACAAATAATTTTGAAATTTACATATTTCTTTTTAGATAAACCAAAGTTACTAAAAATGAATAATAAGCAACACCAACAAGTAATATAAAATTAACAAAATAAGAGAAAAATAATATTCCTATTGAAACGAAATGCAGGATTAATTGTTCGTAATTAAATTGAACCGAAAAACTTATATATCAACATTTTCGGGCAAAGATTAGCAAGTTATTTTAAATTATTCCATGTCAACTCGAAAAACTAACTAATCTTTTTTGTGGATTTCAAAAAAAATTCTGACGAAGGTAGCAACTATTAAATTTCTAAAACTGGGAAAAAGTATGAACTTGTGTTCCTCCATTGGCGGTGCTAGTGGCGGCCAAAGTAATAACAGTTGTGGTGCTGGAGGTAGTTCATCTAACATTGGTGCTAATTGCACATCATCTTCTGCAGTTGGTGCAACTGCAACTACCAGTTGCGGTGGTTCAAATACTGTAGGGGCCTTAGGTGGTAGTAGCAGCTGCATTGCAGGTCAAAATATATCAAATACAGGAGGCAGTAGTAGTATTGGAGCTGGTAGTAGTGGAGCTGGTAGCAGCAGTAGCGAGATGCCTCCAGAAACTAAACCAAAACAAGTTACTGTAAAGCATCCTGAATCTAACAAACCGAAACCTACAACAAAGAAAAGTAAGCCTGTACAAGCAGATCAGGAAGTAATTAAGCAAATACAACGATGCCGCGATGAAGGCAAAAAATGTTTGGACTTGAGCAAATCATCAATAACTGTTATTCCATCAACTTTAAAAGATTGTACACATTTGACTGAATTTTATTTGTATAGTAATCGTGTATCGCAATTACCACCAGAAATTGGATTTTTAATCAATCTGAAAACATTAGCATTAAATGAAAATTCTTTAACATCTTTGCCAGATACATTAGTGAATCTAAAACAACTCGAAGTTTTAGATTTGAGACATAATAAACTCTCAGAAATTCCCGATGTTATTTATAAATTAAAATCGTTGACAACGTTATTTTTGGTATTCAATCGAATACGATGCGTGTCTCCTGATATAGCAAACTTAACAAATTTACGAATGTTGTCTTTGCGTGATAATAAAATCCGCGAACTAAGTCCATCCATCGGTTATCTGGTGAATTTGACAACACTGGACGTTTCACATAACAGCTTAGATCAATTGTCAGAAGAAATTGGAAAATGTGTAAATCTAAATTCACTTGATTTACAACATAATGAACTGTCATCGATTCCGGAAAGTATTGGTAACTTGAAATACTTAAAACGACTGGGACTCAGGTAAATAAATGATAAATTTTTTGGTAAAAAATTTTGAGTTTTTTTAGTTATTTATCAAATAAATAATTCCCATAGGTACAATAAGCTAACATGTATCCCTGCATCATTAAAAAATTGTAAAATGATGGAAGAATTTAATGTTGAAGGAAATGGAATATCACAACTTCCTGACGGACTATTGGCTAGTTTGAGTGCTCTAAAGTCAATAACATTATCTCGCAACAAATTCCATAGTTACCCATCTGGAGGTCCAGCGCAATTTACTAATGTAGAAAATATTAATTTGGAACACAATAAAATAGACAAAATTCCCTATGGAATATTTTCACGTGCTCAAAAGTTAACGAAATTAATAATGAAAGAAAATGTTTTAACATCTTTACCATTAGATGTTGGAACATGGGTAAATATGGTGGAATTAAATTTGGCAACAAATTCCTTAACAAAATTACCCGATGATATTATGAATTTACAAAATTTAGAAGTTTTAATATTATCTAACAATATGCTCAAAAAAATTCCAAATACTATTGGGAATTTGCGTAAACTGCAGGTTTTAGATTTGGAAGAGAATCGTATTGAAACCCTACCAAATGAAATTGGTCTTTTGCATGAATTAGAAAAATTAATTTTGCAAACAAATCAAATACAAGTTTTACCGCGAACTATTGGTCATTTGACAAAATTAAAACACTTAAGTGTAAGCGAAAATAATTTACAATATTTACCTGAGGAAATTGGAACATTGGAAAATTTAGAAAATCTTTATATTAATCAAAATCCATGCCTTGAGAAATTACCATATGAAGTAGCATTGTGTCAAAACTTGAAATATTTAAATATTGACAAATGCCCACTAAGTACTATTCCAGCTGAAATTCAAGCCGGCGGACCGTCTTTAGTATTACAGTGGTTAAAAATGAACTCGCCGTATAGACAAATGTGATTTGATATCGCAATTGAAAATTAAAAAAAAATATCCAAATTAAATTTTACATTGAGTTATACATGTTTTATGTATAAATATGATGTACATTACAAAAATTGTCTCCAAACAAAGGTAATCTGAATATATTAATTTTTGACATACATACATATTTCAGTTAATCAAGTAAAATTTTTCACGTATTTTCAGATATGCAGAAACGCAACTTTGCAACTCTAACTATCTTAACTTGTGTTTGAAAAGCTAAAAAATATTTACTATTTCATTAGTAAAAACTCCATATTATGTATATTAATTTCTTAATCCATTTTTCATTCGAATGTTCATTAATACAAATTAAATGACAAAATTAAAAAAAACTTAATAAACGATCAAATCGATATTAAAAGCAAAAACATATATGATAAATATACCAAAAATACATATAGAAATTGAATTAAAAAATAATACGCAAAAGATTTTCATAAATGTAAATGTGTGATTATAATATAGCTTTAAACAAATATTCAGGATATGCTTCAGTGTTTTAAGTTTTTAAATTGAAAAAGAAAACAACAGATAATTGAAAAAATAATTTCATGTTAAAAATTTTACTAAAATTAGTTTATTTAAAATAAAAAGTTAAAAAAATTGTTAAACATATAAGAAAAATTTATTTAAAATATTTTCTAAATAATAGAAAACAATAAAAAACGACGATTATAATAAATTTAATGCGATCATTAGCTTCTAATCTTATTTAATTTTTTTTATGAAAAAAGCTCTTACAGTTTTAATAAGTGGCAACAAGTTCAAATTGCAATTAAAAAACACTTGATTTCACTAAACAAAAAACGTAAGATAAATTTCAAAACTAATGGGTGTTTTGAAAGTGAAATTAGTTAAATAATTTTCTGATATGAAAGAATTTTACATGTTTTATTATTGGTAAATTTAAATACATTAGAGTGCATTGAAATTAATTTTCCCAAGATGTTTTTTAAAAAAATATTTAGCTGAAAACACTTTTAAAGCCCAATTAAAGTAAAATTTTAATTAATGGTTTATGTTGAATATTTTGCTTTCTTTTACAGGAAATATTAGGAATTCTGGTGCCATAACTTATTCAATGTGCGTATAAATAAAGTATTTTTTTTCTTTTATATAAGTATAGTGGTAAGCTAATATTATTGGTATTATAATTTTTGGCTCAAGATTTTTGTTTTTAATTTTTGAACAAAAGTAATTGTATTGTTTTCAAAAATTGTAAATATCAAAAGGAAAAAATATACTTCCTTTGAACTTTAAAATATTAAACGAATTTGGGAAAAAATTCACTTTTTTTTTATTTAGTAATATATAAAAAAAATTCACGATCATTATATATGAAACAAAAAACCCCCATTCTAGTCATTTAAGATGAGATTATTTATAATAAAATAAATTACACTTGTTTATAAAAAAATTAAGTATAGCAAAACTAAAACAAAGTAAAAATACATTAAGTTGCTAATATAAAAGGCAAAGAATGAATTTTTTGAAATACGAAAATTAATAAATTACTAAAAAAAAACAAAACAAATCGCCAAAAGGAATTGTTTAAAACATAAAAGAGATATTGCATTTAAATGTGTTAAATGTAGTTAAAAATTAATATGTATATGTATACGTGTATATTTAATATTAATTTTACATATAAATTTATATGTATTAATTTATTATTTTTAAACATAAATATTTCCTGAGTAAGATATATGCATATATCTGTAAAATATATATGATATGACTCAATATTATATGTGGATAATTGAATAATATATTCTTTATGTGTACATATGAAAGGAATTCTATTAAATTCAATAGTATTAAATTAAATAAAATCTATTAAATTTAATAATTGAAAGAATTTCTTAACAATTTGAATACAGAACCGTTTTTATTTTTAAGCATCTTTTATTTGTTCTCTTAATTGTTTAATTATTTAACCACCATTTTAATTTAAAAATGTAGTTTAAGAAAAAAAATTGTATGATAGCAATTCTTATTGAAAAAATGCAAATATTTTTGCATGAACCACTTTAATTTTAAACAAACTTAATTGTTTGTAACAAAAAATTGTAAATCAGCTTATTAATTTTAATAATTTTTTACGCCGGTTATAAGAAAACAAAAATGTTTACCATATACATGTATGATAATTCTTATAAAATTTTTACATAATAACATGTACGATTTTGCAGTATTTTTTAAATTTATATAAACACTTACTCTTACCACTTTTGTGTATATGTATTTATGTGGTCTTTAAACTGTTAGATCTTTCAGTTACTTTACGACTCGAGATTATAAGAATTCGCGCCTAAACCTTTTATTTTCATGTAAACTGAAATATTTGTTAATTTAAATCTTTATGAACATAATATTGAAAAAATATAGTTGCAATTGCAAACTGGGTGCCAATTTTATATTGAATTTTGCTATTAAAATACATAATTTTTGTAATTGCATAAATGTTTTTCTCATATAATTATGTTAAAAAAATAAAAATTACAATTTTTCAAAAAATAACAAATAGATTTGCATAAAAGTAACACCTTCAAAAAAAGACTAAATTAATTCACTCCTGCCACAACTTTACTTTTACATGTTTTCTTCTTTTACTTTTATTTTTTTATTTAAACAAGAAGTGAGTGAACTGAACAAATTCACATTATAGACAAAACAATTTAAATTGTATTCAATATTTATACCGGGTGTAGGGTAACGAAACTTCAAATATAAAAACAATTAAAATTTTTCAATGAGATTAGGAAATTTAATTTTAAAATATTAAGAAATCAAAATCGTGTTTACTTTTGACGAGAGGTGATTTCATATATGTATTTCAAAAAAAACTATTTAAGTTAAATACTATTGTCACATTTGAATTATTATCATGAAACTGTAAATGCCATTTGTCGCAATTCTTACCGGAACCAAATTCAAATACGTGAGCCAATAAACCTGTACTAACGCAAAATTACATTTTTCTTTTTTTTTTATAAGAAGGAAAATTTGTTAGAAATTAAGTAATTAAGTAAAAAATGTATTTATATTTAAAATAAACGTATATTATGTACATAACACCTAACATTAAATATCATACAAATATAAACGCAACACAATTTTATATACATACATTATTTTCTAAAGTTGAAAAACAAAAAAAAAATATTTATTTTAGAAATGAAAAAAGAAATATAATTAATGCTTTAACAAATAAATAATTAAACTTCATTACATATGGAACAAAACATAAACTTAGTATTAAATTTTATCACTAAAAATTTCTGAATACGAAAAATTTTTTACTTTTCTAACATATTATGTAAATTAAAAAACTTTGGCACATAATTGTTTTAACATAAGCATAAACAGTAACAATAATACTTAATTTAGATAACAGTATTTTGTTTTTTGAATAAAAAAGAAAAATTCATTTGAAATAATTTTCGCATCGTATTCGCTGTTCAGAGATTTTTTAATGTGATAGCCTCATATTGCAATGGTTTTCATTCTTAATAAACTTCGAACATAAAACAAGAAAACAAACATTAATATACAAAATACACACAAAATTTAAAAAAATATATATAAATTAATATTATTAAATAATAAAAAGAACATATAAATATTTGGTAAAAAAAAAAAATCAATGAAAGCATCTGCTCCTAAAGTATAAATACATATTATTTGTTCCGTTTTTTTTATTTTTGCGAAAATCCTATAAATTCAATTAAATTTTTCACGTACTTGGGGTTTTAAAATTCAAAATTTTATTTATGAAATATGGTAGTAAACATAACAGACCTCAAAGCTTGAACACCCTCACAAAAATTTTTTTTACCACCTATCGGGTTATTTACATAGATACATAAACCTCTTCTTTTTCATTATGAATTCTTCAATTGGTTTTATTGAAACACTAGTATATTTTCGAAAAATTTATTTTTTTTCATAAATTTTATTTTATGTTTTTTAAATGTATGTCTCTTAGACGATTTAATCGTCCAATTTGTATTATTTTTTTATTGAATTTTTTCATTATAAAGCAGCATTATAAAGGTAAAATTAATTATGAAGATAAAACAAAATTAGCTATATGTAAGAGTATCTTACAAAATCAATAAAAAATACTTCATTTTAAGTTTTTGAATTAAATAGTTGATATTTTTATTTTATTAAAGTTTTTTTTCTTATTTTAAAAATTAAAAACTACATAATATTAATGCACATGCATATATTTGAACTAATAAAATATTTTGGTATAAAATGCAAATAGAATAATTTATTAATACATTTATTATATAGTATTTCCCAAAGAAAACCAGAAAATCCATTAAGTAGACAACCAATTTCAGGCATTAATAATAAACTAAATTTCATTAAGAATTTAAATAAATAATTTATGTCTATAGGAAAAAAATAAAAAAGACATAAAAGAAGAACAAGCGCACAGTTATAACAAAATAAGCTTATATTAAAAATACAAATAAATAAATTTAAAAAAATAAAAATAGAAAAGAAAAAAAAACAATTTATGTACATTAATTAAAAAAAGGTAAAAAATATAAAAAATATGTAAAATATGAAATACATATGTAATTACATTAAATTTTCAAATTTTTCATAATTAAAATTATTATTAATCGTGTAATTAATAATTTTTATTACATTATTTATATAAAAAATTCTGGAAAAAACAAAAAAAAAGTAAAAAACAAGTAAAATTGAATTTGATGCATATGTATATGCATATGTATACTTAAAGCAACACAGAAAAATTATTCGTATATACCGTATTAATATTGTTGTACAAAAAACTTATAAAGAACAAAATTTGTTGAATTATTCAAATTTTTGATATTTTTTTTTATTTTTCCCAATTTTTTTTTTTAAATTCATCGTATAATTAAATATGTATGTATTATAAAATTCGTAGAAACTTTTACAAAAAAAAAGTATAATTTAAAGTTTACCTAACGGTACATATGTATGTATGAGTATATTACCAGGGCTAACAAGGTCAGAGAGAAAAAAAAAAATAATTTCTAAATTTGTTTAAAAAACACAAGGGACGGATGCCGTGTTAATAAAATTGTCGTTTACACCATTAACGTTTCATAACACAACTCTCGATAATGATTTTGCTAAGACAATTCATGGACAAATGGGTGTTATCGATGATTCAGCTCTAACTTAATAATAAAATTGCAGCACTTGTATGTACAGCCAAAACAGTACATTCTAAAACAGAAGTGCTGTTTATGAATATCTCCAAAATATGATATTCTCGTTTTGTAAAAAATGTCACGGAAAAATTTTAATTATTCAAAATATTTGCCGAAAGAATTTTATTATAAATTATTATTTTCTTTAGTTATTTTTCTGTGCGCGAAAATATTTTGATTTTTTATTTATATTTTTATTAATATTTTTCCTTATATTTTTAAAGACTATCAAACTAGACTAATGTCAACAGAGTAGACTCTCATAATATAATACAAATTAGTGAATTTTTTTCTATTAAAGAAAAAATTCAAACCTTTGTAGACATTTATAATTAACACTTGAAATAATTTCCTTGTCTATTTGAAAACTAAACATCGAAAGTATTTAGTTCCGCAAAGTAAAATTAAATGTTTCGCAATTTTGCAGTTTTAGATGTACTAATACGTAAACTGTACTACAAATGTCACATTCGCAGTTTTAACCCTTTGCACTCCAACTATCAATCTGGCTGGCATAACAAGTAAAGACGATCTATTCCAACTACCAGTTCTACTGGCAACATTTTATTTTGTAATTATTTCTAATTAAAACATGAATTTATATCTGATACCGTTACTTTTTTAACATTAGACAAGTTCTCTCTCTGTTCTTTGTTGTTTTGTATGCATTTGCGATCTTAACGGTTAATTATCACAATTTGAGTTTAGTTGAATCCATTGTAATACATGTTCAAGAAAAGCCAGTCTACATGTAAGCGACTTTTTCATAAATTATCACACTAAAAAGTTTATAAGAAATAAATTATTATTTTGCAAAGTTAATTTACCCTAATATACGAATAAATTTTTATATTATTAATCAATATTTAAATAATTTAGAGATGCAATACCTTCATCAAAATGGTTTTTTCCGTTTATGTTGTATGTCAACCAAATTAAATATTTTGAATTTGAATTTATTTTTAGATATGTACATTCAAGTTATCTAAGTTTTTGAGTTAATTCTCGTTAATAAAAAATAATTTTTCCAGAAACTGAAGCATTTTTTCAAAGTATTGTGAATACAAAATATTTCCTAAAAATTCTTGGAGCTGACTACTAACAGGCAGAAAAAATGCACGGAGTGCAAAGGGTTAAAAAGCCCTCAGTGCACACGGAAAATTTTATTATCAAACTTCATGCGTACTTAAGATTAAATAAATTTTAATTATTTTATGTATGTTTAACTTAAACATATCACAAAAATTATAGATTACATACATACATACATACATATTTTTTGAAAGTAACTGACTTAATATTAATTTGCTTCGCCCGCTCTAGATTACTCTAAAGTACACAAACGGTTTTGTACTCTATTCATAATATGAATAATTTTTAGTGACAGACATTGCCAAGTTAATGCAAAGCTCTGGTATATTTAATTTTTATTTGTACAACTTTTTGTTTAGATTGCTTAAAAAATAAAATCGATTTAATTAATCTAATTGAAATTAGCAATCGTTCATTAATTTTAATCTGTTTTTCTTATTGAACAACTGGAAACCAAATTAAGTTAGATTTAGTACATAATTTGAAATCTACTTTTTAAAAGTATTTCTATAGTTTAAATTTTTATGTTTAAAATTACTTTTAATTTTTGACTAATATCAACAACTTAATTTTTTACATGTAAATTTCGAAATGTTTTTAACTTTAGAACACAAATATTTGCTCCTTATCTATAGAGTAAAAATGCAAAAAAGTTTTTTTAGTATGAATACTATGTAAAATATTCTTTATTTATACTTCTATATTATAAGATAAAACAAAATATGAAATTTGTAAATTATGTTATCTGTGTATGTACTTTGATTTTTTATACTTTTAAAAGTAATATAGTAAAACAAATGATTGAGACATTGATTGTGGAAAATAAAATCATTAATCTATATGTAGTTAAAACATATATAAATACATACTTACATCAATGTTAGTAGAAAAAAAAATTATTTAAAATTTAAGAGGAAGTGAAAATAATGCAAAAAAAAAGAATATGAAATAAAAAAATATATATGAAAAGTATTAATAAGTAAAAACATTAGAAAAAACAAGTGGTGGTTAAAAAACAAAACAAATGAAATAAAAAATTAATAAATGTGTAAATGTAAACAAAATTTTCGATTTTCATTTAAATTTTCCAATTTACCTTATCAAGAAATCAAATATCAACCTTAACCTTTTCTTTTGCGTTTAAGCCGTTGAAAATACTATTTACATACCTACATACTTCGTTTAATAATGTGTCTATAAATATTTTATTCCTGCAAAATATGTGAAATCGATGTAGGTATATAAAAAACTTAATTCATGGCTCACGTATTTTTTATCTTCATACGTGTTATCATTCCAAAAGGACAATAAAAATTTAACAGCATTACTTTTATTAATTTAGATTTATATTTTATATACCACACATTTAATAATCTCTACATAAAAATCTTATAAAAAAAATTGTTGTTATAAATTTGATCACAAAATTTCTTTAAAATGGTATTGTTAAGTCTTTTTGATACAGAAATCCGCAAAATTTGCAGTTATAAAATAATATTAACAGTTTTATATTTGTTTTTTGGTATTCTAATATTTACTTCATTCTTCGAAAAATATTTATCTAAAGATTGCTTCAATTCGGTTTGAGCTTTTACTGGCAATTCCTCTGAATTATCTGGTTGGGTAGCATAATACTTGTCGAGTGAAACATTATGTGGACCACCGTAATAGTCAAGTACATAAATATTTTTAATATCTACTTTGAATAAGCTAAAACTGGCATGGGCTGAAATCAATTTATTACATTACATACATACAATTATTAAAAATAATAAATTGTTTATACCTTTTATCCAGTTCAATGCAGCAGGATGAAGTCTTATTATACTATCAAGCCCGACTTTATAATCTGGGAAACTTTCATCCATCTAAAAAAGTTTAATTTATATAGAAAAATATTAAAACGGAAAAAGAGCTTTCAACTCTTCATCTCTACCTTTATCATATTTCCAGAAATATGTACTCTTGGACAAACTGGTTCCATTGGATCTATATTTTGTTTAGAACAATGTAAATCTTCATCATCGGATATCATAAGAGTAGCTCTATTATCAACCTATTATTTGAAAAACAAATATTCATCATTACCCTTTAGGTTTAAAACAAATTCTTACCAATAAATCCTGCCCAGTAAAATCCAATGTTGTTGAAAGAAAATATATAACGCCCGTGGATTTTTCATTTACAATACCATCACTAATTGACATTATATTAACCATTGGATATCCCTGAATATTTGAATCAGTTGATCTTGTTCCGATTGATGCCCATTTAGATTTGTGTACCAGGTTACGAGCCACTTTCGCATGATCCCTTTCTTTAACGGCTTTCGGTTCCAGATAGCTTCTTATAATTCTCTCATCTTGAACTACTGAATATGACGACGATTGATTGAATAAAATCATAGACATTAACAAATAAATTGCAGCTCGAAGCATATTTACTTTTTATATTGCCTACATATAAAAAATAAAACTAATTTGAAAATGCCAAAATATCGAAAAATATATTTCCCACCTATGTACATGGAATAAGATAAAAAGTATATATATTTTTACGCTCGCGAGAATTATTTTGTTAATATAATTTCAAGAACAGAAAAAATTAGTTCAACTTACTTATCTTTATATTATTAAGTAAAAATTCTATGCTATAAATTGCGTCTTGGAGAGTCTAAATATTATAACAAAGGCCGTTAATATTGCTAATTTTAAAACAGGTAACGACTATAAAGTGACATAGTGTGTAGATAGGCAGGTTTTGGTACCTACATATATTTGTAAATTTCCTTTAACAGGTACTTATTTACTCTAAAATAGCAAATTAAAATATAAGGGAATAATATGCATAAAGTTAATATAGTCTTTGCAGATTTTACTTTATAATTTTTAAAAACTTCTTTCGCCTTTGTTTCATATGCGTAATATACATCATTATGTACTTCCGCCTATACGTGCATATACACAATATTCAAAGCAATTTTGCAATGATTATGCTAATATTAAATTTATATTTATATTATATTCAAATATATATTTTTTATACATTCATGTAGAAAATAGAAATAAAATTTTGACTTACCTGTAGCACTATATTGCTATTAACTATTTTCAACTTCTTATTCGTTTATGCGTCTTTTATATACTAAATTCAAAATTCATTGTTTTGATTTTTTATAATTATTCACCACAAATAAAAAATAACAAGGCAGTGACAGTAAGTAAAGATCGCACGGCTGACAGCTGAGACGTGTTGAAATGAAAGTTAAGTGAAACAAAATTCCAACATGCAATGCTGATATTTTGTGGAAATCTTTGGCTTTTGTCACACTATTAATTTTTCAATCTCATCTCTTTTTCAATTCATCAATTTTTTAAAACCTAGATTCTTTATTTATGCACCTTGGGTTAAAGTTTGAAGGGGAAAGAATTAGAACAAAATTTAAAGAAATTAGTAAAGTGAATTAATTTTGCAGTTTAATATTGACGCATTTGTATATGTGCAGCTTAAAAACGTAGAAATAAACATGGGTTCATTGGTTTATCGCTTTTAACCTGAGTAGTTTTTGTTTTATTACAACTTATTTGATCCTTTTCGACAAGTACATTATGTAATTGTAGTAGTACTACATATAAAATAATAATTAAATTTGCGTTTCAAGTTGCGATTTAGTTTGAAAATACGTTAGGTCGTATCGACAAACCAGTGAATACGCACTTAAATGAGCCAAAAAAGTGTCTCCGAGTCAGTAGACTTTTTGCATATACGACAAAATCTAAGATTTGATTACTGTTTACATATGTGAAAAAATCTAAGACTGTTACTGTTCACAAAAACGAATAAATCTAAGATTTAAATTGAGTCTGATAAAAGTGTTATCTATAATTATGTAAACTCTAATTGACATCAAAGTTTGTCTGATGGCAAATAGCAGAAGTTATGCACATTCTGCGCAACATATTTTTTTAAAGTGTTTTCTTATAAAAATTTGTAACTAGGTTCTTTTCATAAAATGTTGTTGGTAATATTGTCTGAATAGAGTATAAATAAACACTAATTGACAGCAAAGCTGGGATTTTTGTTATATCAAGCTCCAGGCCTTAATACTTTTGTTATGTCATGATAAAAACTCTTCACAACATGTTATTTTTCAATATAGTGTGCATCACAGAGTTAGAAACATTTCTCCTTCGCCTGGTGGAGGAATTGGAAACATTTCTAATTGGGTAAGGAAGGAGGGTTTCTTAGAGTATAAGAAAAATATTTTATTGTTATATTTCTGACAATAACTTGCACATGTAAACGCTCGGTCAGCGAGTCTTCATTGTAGTTTCTCCATACTTTTAAAATTTTGAATCGTGTCACTGTCACATTTGGTTGTAAAAAGTAAACAATTAAATATAATATTATCTTTACATAGCGAAATAGCAAAGTATTTACTTTAGGTATATAATAAAATAATCATTGCATTTTTCTATTAAATTTGATTTTTGTAAAAGCTTTGGAATATACATCTTATTTTATAAATTGCAGTTAAAAAATGACTGAACTGGTAAATGAGTTTAGTGAAAAAGAAATTTCAAGAATCAAAGAAGAATTTAAAAGGATAGACGGTACGTAAATATATTTGAACAAAGGAATAATTTTCATTTCTATTATCTTAATAAAACAACTAAAAGTATCTCATATCCTAAACAGATAAAATATATGTAGATCATGCTGGAACTGCATTGTATTCAGAAAAACAAATTGATTGTGTCTCAAAATTATTAAAAGATAATATTTTTTGCAATCCGCATACATGCAAAATAACAGGAGATCTCGTAGATCAAGTAAGATTTAGGTAAGATATATGAATCAATTATATAATAGGAGAAATTGAAAGAGACAACATAACAATAATGCTCTTTTATTAACATATACATATCATTTTTAGAATTCTGAGTTTTTTCAACACCAACTCCGAAAAATACACAATTGTGTTTACTGCTAATGCTAGCGCTGCACTTAAGACTGTTGCAGAATGCTTTGATTTTGGAACAAGCGGATCATTTCATTATTGTCAAGAAAACCATACTTCTGTCCTAGGGATGCGAGAAGTTGTTCAAACTAAAAACGTTTCTGTTTTAACTAGAAGTGATATTTTGAAAAATATTTCATCAAATCGAAGAAAAAACTGTGATTTCAAGAAATTTTCCGGGAACTCGTTGTTAGCTTTTTCAGCCCAATGTAATCTTAGTGGTTATAAGATGCCACTAGATGTAATTGAAAGTATACAAAACAAAGGAATTATAGACCACGGAAAATACATCCGTGGGGAGTTGGATCATACATCAGAAAACAAATGTTTTATTTGTTTAGACGCAGCTTCATTTGCTGCTACGAATTTTTTAGATCTTAAAAAATATAGTCCGGATTTCGTGTGCATTTCTTTTTATAAAATATTTGGATATCCTACAGGCTTGGGAGCACTTTTATTGAGCAAAAGAGGGCAAAGTGTTATGAAAAAAAAGTATTTTGGTGGTGGAACTGTGAAAATTTCAATGACTTGTAAAGATTTCCATGTAAAGCGCGATAATTTTGCGGAGCAATATGAGGATGGAACATTATCTTTTTTAAGTATAGCTAGTTTGTTAGAAGGGTTTAAAACTCTTGAAAGATTAGTGCCTTCAACAAATGATTTAAGAAGTCAACAAAGAATCTCTAGGCATGTTTTTAATTTAGCTAAATATTTTTATGAATCTTTAAATGATCTAAGACATGAAAATGGTCAAAAGTTAATTGAATTTTATAATCATACAAATTATGAATCATCTGAGACACAGGGAGGAATAGTTTGTTTTAATATTTTACATGAAGATGGTAGTTATGTTGGTTTTGCTGAGGTTAGTCTAATAATATAAAGTACAATTTTATTAATATTAATTAATATTTTAGGTTGCTTGCATCGCTGCTGTTTACAATATAATATTAAGAACTGGTTGCTTTTGTAATGCTGGTGCATGTCAATCATTTTTAAAGTTACGGGATGAAGACATTGTCAAACATTTCCAAGTTATTAAATTTTTTAAAGTAGTAAGATTTCGATAAAATTCTCATTTAATTATAGGCGGGACATGTTTGTAGCGATTATAATGATTTGATAGAGGGTCAACCTACAGGTGGTGTAAGAATTTCTTTTGGATATATAACTCAAAAATCAGATGTGGATGCCGTACTGCAAATGTTGAAAAATTGTTATGTCTCAGAAACTTCTCAAAAAAGACTTGAAATTATTAAGTCTAAAGATCTGCCAAAAGCACTTAGACACATTCCAGAACGTCTAAGTCGAGTCAAAGCACAGTTAACTAAAATTTGCATTTATCCCATAAAATCCTGTGCCGCTTTCGAAATCAATGGCGAAACCCAGTGGGAAATAACAGAGAATGGCCTAAAATATGACAGAATTTGGATGATAGTGGATTCAAACGGAATGGCATTTACTCAAAAACGTTGCACACAGCTCTGTCTAATTAAGCCACGTATAAACTTAAAGTCCAATCACTTAGAACTAAGCTTTAAGGAAAAAGTTTCAACACCAATTCCTTTGCAAGTTTCAGTTGATGAAACAAACACTATCACGACAAATTTTTGCCAAAGCAAAGTGTGTGGGGACTCTATTCAAGGTTTCGATTGCGGCAACGAAATTGCTGCTTGGTTGTCAGATGTTTTAAGTACTCCTGGTCTTCGTTTAATTCGACAAAACGATAATTCAGAACGCAAATATAGCGACGGGACTTCTAAAGAAATTAATTTATCTAATCAAGCCCAATATTTATTAATAAATAAATCATCTGTTGCATGGTTGTTAAAAAGAATTCCCAATTGGCAAAAAAATATGAACTCTTTAGATGATGTTGTAAAAAGATTCAGAGCAAACTTAATTATAGAAAATTGCTGCGCATTCGAGGAGAACAATATTAAAAATCTACAAATAGGTGATATCGACTTCAATATTGAAGGTCCGTGCACACGATGCCAAATGATTTGTATCGATCAAAATACTGGGGATAAAACTGCTGAGCCTCTAAAAACTATTGCAAAAGAATTTCAAGGAAAAATAAAATTTGGTATTTATTTATCACAAAAGATTTTGGATGAGGGGCCTGCAAATAAAAGTATATCCTGCAATGATAAAGTTACTCTAGCAAAAAATTAAAACGTTTTTATTTGATTTACAAAAAATATATTTAAGACTATAGAACACATATGTATATTATGTACTATGCTATGACATACATATTTTTTAATTTTTTTGTATTTTCCTGTGAAAATCACGTCAGATTAAAATTTATAAAATTCTATTTTATCATTCATCTATTTGTATTTAAATACTTTCTCAATAGTTTCTGGTTCCCTTAATGTTTTTAATAATAAATCCTCTAATTCCGATCTTCTTAATAATATGTCATTTAATTTTCTCGCAGCTTGCGTTTCTTTATTTGCTAACTTATAGTATCTTTCCAATATTTTGCTTACTTTATAGTTAAGCACGTAAGAATCCATCGTCATTTTTATACATATGTATGTTAAAATTAAATTTTTTTTTATTTTTGTAAGTATAGAAGTTTGATCAAACTCTGAATTTCAAATTTTACAATTTGCCGACGAAGTTTGAAAGAGTCTCGTTCGAACTGACAGCCATTTAAAAATTTGTCACATTCAAATTATGATCATGTTTAGACAAAAACAAAAAAACGGATACTATGATCCCGAATAATGTTGAATTTGTTGGTCGCTTTACGTGGACCGCTAAGTATTAATAAAATTTAAAATAAAGTCTGGTATAAAATATTTTTAAAAACTTAATAAAGTTTTTGTGTGCAAAGCGGCTGGTATTATATCTTTTAAACAAAAATGAGAGAAAATGATGACGTTTTCATTTTCTCAAAGTATAAAGTTTTTTTCAAGTTTTGTAAAGTAAAATTTAGTTTTTTAAAAGCTTCAAATATTAAAGCTGCCAGAACATGTTTTTCTTGGTTATATCAAATGGTTTTATTTTTCAAAAAAAATTTTTTCGTCAATAATAATTTTTTTTCAAAACAAATTAAAAATAAGATAAACAAAATTGATTCATAAATGATTTTTTCTAAGTTTCATTCTTTTATAATTCAAAATCAAAATTTTCGGTTTCTTGTTTAAGCAAAAAATATTTGTTTACAAATATTTTGAAATTTGATACTCAGCAACTATTTATAGGGTGTTAAACAGTTTTTTCAAGTTTTCCCTCTGGTTTATTTTTTTTCTTTTTCCGAGGCTTTACATTATTGCTTTCTCTTTATAAAATTTTTCAAGTTCATTTGATATAAGCAACTGAAAAGTGCGAATCTATATTTTATACGAAATTTTGAATTTTTCTAATTTCTTATATTTTTTGCGCATTTTTTTTCTCTCTGAATTAACTTCAACCTTAGTACAGAGGTTTTTGAAAATGTCATGTTGTACTTATGTCATGTTAAATGTCAAAAGTGAAGTAATTTGAAATTAAATGAAAATATATCAAGAGTAAAGCTAAATTCAGCACTTTCAAACGACGCAATGAACTTTTATGAGAGAAACGAGAGCGTCTTTAAAATTTGATCGTCATAAATGCGTACCAATGATTTTACTTTAAGCGTAATGTATTACCCAGATTTACATGCATCATATCACAATAAATTTGTATAAGGAGTAGCGCGTGTTAAGTGACTGTTTAACTTTTCTTTTAACTAATAAGTAGCAATTTTGATTGAAAATGCAGTTATTAAAAGCTAATATAAAAATTATAAAAATTGTTAATTTTTGCTTTACTAGCTAACCTTACATTTTTACTTACACATTCAAATCTTACAATTTAACTAAAATCACGTGACATTCTCCGATTTTTAAAAAATTTTAGCTTAAAAGCTTGAAAACGTCGTTCAGCTATTTTTTTTTAAGTCATTATTAACATTTCAAATCAAGAAGACATAAATTTTTGATTGGCGTGAGTGAAGCCGGCTTCAAGTCAAGCAAGGTTTACATGTGCATAAAATAGGCTTCAAGAACGCTCGATTTTGCCATATAAACGGGATAACTGATACTTCTGGAGCTTACCACATGTATTTCCGCACTAACACTGATTTTTTTTTTCACCATTTTTTTTTCGCTGTCACTTTATGTTTCACAAGTCCCAATACAACATTTTTGCATGAATTGTCAATCCCAAATTGTCAAATTGTTTGCAGGCAAACAATTTCTACTTTTAGCTTTTAATTAAAAGAAAAATTATAAGGATTTAAATATCTATAAATATTTTGTAAACTCGTGAAGAATTTGTAACCATTGCTTAATACATAAAATGAGTTCAGACAGCGACGAAGAAAAAACTGGTGTTGATTTGACCGGATTTTTATTTGGGAACATTGATTCAGAAGGAAAACTTGAAGACGACATTTTCGATTCAGAAGTTAAAAAAAGTCTTTCATCTTTATCAAGGTATATTTAGAGTTTTGAAAGTTTGAAAAAGTAAACATAAATTTGTTTTGTAGATTTGGGTTTGATTCATTTTTACACGAAGTTATTTCCGATAAGGGCAGTCAGGGTGATTTTGGCCGCGGTATAGAAGAATCTTTTGCGAAAAATGAAAATGCTATTGATTACTCAGATATTAATGAACTTGCGGAAGATTTTTCAAGTCCACCGCGAGAAAGTAATAATCAAAGTTCTAATGATGATTACGATATAGAAGATGAAATACCGGCAAGTAAATTATCAGCAGATATTAAAAATGATGGAAGTTTGAAAGATGAAAAATCTGATAGTGATACAGGTGTTTTAGTAAATAATTTTTTTTAAATAAGATCTTATTTTTTTTTGTCATTTTCTAGATAAAAAGGATGATAAAGAACTAATGCCGCCACCAAGTTTACCTTTAAAAACCTCTACTTATGAGCAAACATATAAATCTGATGGTGAAACCGATATTAAAACTGAAAAACGTGAGTTTGAACTTTTGCCTTTTTCTAACAGAAATTCAAAAATTTACTACGACGTAACTTCTGTTTGACTTATTTACGAAGAGAAAAGTTTAAAAAAAATGGGAAACTGTTCGACCATTTTTTTAAGGTTGTATACCTATATGTGGGTCTACGTAGAATTTATACGTGTTTTACCACTTTTGATTAGTTACATAGTAATATCAAATGGTTTCCAATTTTCTTACGAAAATACTATGTTAATTTAATCAAAGCTTTTATTAAAGATATTTTTTTTTTTAATTAGAATATTTATTTTAACCATCTTTAAAAGATCAGATTGTGAAATGTTCATTAATTTTGATATGTGCGTTCTTTAACAATTATTATTATATGTACTTTATAAATAATAATACCGTAAGGTAGCAAGGATTTTATAAATTTCATATATACTGTTTATCAAAAAGATAACATATTGAAAAGGCCAAATTTGAACAGCTGAATACAATACCTTTTTAGTTTTATTAAGATAATCAGATTTAAATTTTTTAAACAGTTGATGCACCAAAAAAGCTAGACACTCCACTTGCTGCAATGTTACCTTCGAAATATGCAAATGTAGATGTCCGAGAACTATTTCCTGATTTTCGACCTGACAAAGTTTTAAGATTTTCACGTCTGTTTGGTCCTGGAAAACCATCAAGTTTGCCCCAAATTTGGAGACATGTCAAAAAAAAACGTAGGAAGCGAAAACAATCTAGGGATCATAGATTGGTAGAAATCTGATTTTTGTTATATCTTTATACATATATATTTTTAAAAAACAAAAAAAAATTAAAAATATTTTTTAAAGCCAAATACAGGATCTGATTCAACAAGCGATACTGATGAGCTACGACACGGATTTAGTCTAAGATACGGTCCGGATCCAAAAAAAGAACAATGCGTTTCTGATGATGAGGATAAGTTACTATCTATTACAAATGATGATAATATCAAAGAAGAAGGGTCAAATGGAGATGATAATAACGAAAATAAACCTAAAGTAGCAGATTGGAGATTTGGACCTGCTCAAATTTGGTATGATATGTTGGAAGTCCCAGAATCTGGAGATGGATTTAATTATGGTTTTAAAACTAAGGTACACTAGAAAAAAAATCTGTTTTTTTATTTACAAAGTTGCAACTATGTTTAATTAGGGAAAGCAAGAAATAGAAGAATTAGACATTAAAGGAGAACCAATTGCAGACGATGCCTATCTGATGGTTTCCCAAATTCATTGGGAAGATGACGTTGTATGGGATGGAAATGATATAAAATCAAAAGTTTTGCAAAAACTTAATTCAAAAACCAATGCGGCTGGTTGGCTTCCATCAAGTGGTTCACGTACAGCAGCAGCAGCTTTTAGCCAGCCAGGTAAAGGTATGCCGGTAACAGCTACACCTACTGGAAAACTACCATCATCTACTCCTCAGCTACCTGGAAAAATATCAAGCAAAACCCCAATGTAAATATAATAGAAAAAAGTAAACGGTTACGATTTTAATTTAATATATTTCAGTTTACAGAAACCCGAACAAACGGATGATACGTGGTATAGCATTTTCCCCGTTGAAAACGAAGAACTTATATACAGTAAGTGGGAAGATGAAATTATCTGGGATGCCGAATCAATGCCCAAAGTACCAAAACCTAAAGTGTTAACCTTAGATCCGAACGATGAAAATATTATATTAGGTATCCCTGATGATATAGATCCATCAAAAGTCAATAAAAATACCGGACCACCGCCGAAAATCAAAATTCCTCACCCCCATGTAAAAAAATCAAAAATATTATTAGGTAAAGCCGGTGTTATTAACGTGTTAGCTGAAGATACACCACCGCCACCTCCCAAAAGTCCTGATCGAGATCCTTTTAACATTTCAAATGACGTGTAAGTAGTATTTTTTCAATAGTAAAATTCTTGAAAGTAGAAAATAACGAAATTTATTTCTAGTTATTATATGCCAAAGACCGTTGAAAGTGTTAGACTTAAAGTCAGTGGTGGTAATTTGATACAACATTCGACGCCTGTTGTTGAATTAAGAGCTCCATTTATTCCGGTACTTATAATAAAATTGAGAAAATTAAAGTATTTGCTTTATTATAAATTTTTCAGACGCATATGGGTCCAATGAAACTACGAATGTTCCATAGGCCAGCAATGAAAAAGTACTCTCATGGACCTCTGTCAGATAGCAATCATCATCCAGTGTTACCTTTAGTAAAACATATTGTAAAAAAAGCTAAACAAAGAGAACTTGAAAGAATAGCATCAGGAGGAGGAGACGTATTTTTCATGAGGAATCCAGATGACTTAAGTGGCAAAGACGGTGATATAATTTTAGTTGAATTTTGCGAAGAACATCCGCCTCTAATGAATCAGGTAATTTTTTAGTATCATCTGACGTAAAAACAACATTTGAAATTTTGTTTTTTTTTTTTTGTAGGTTGGCATGTGTTCGAAAATAAAAAATTATTACAAACGAAAAGCTGAAAAGGATTCTCCTCCACAATTTAAATATGGTGAAATAGCCTACGCGCATACTAGTCCCTTTTTAGGTATTCTAAATCCGGGTGTATGCATTCAAACTGTAGAAAATAATATGTATCGGGCCCCAATTTATCCCCATCAAGTAAGCTTGACTGATTTCTTGGTAATCAGAAGTAGATATAATTATTGGATTCGAGAAATCAATGCTTTGTTCACAGTTGGTCAAGAATGTCCTTTATACGAAGTCCCAGGTCCGAATTCTAAACGGGCTAACAATTTTGCTAGAGACTTTTTGCAAGTAAGTTTGTTTTAAATTCGATAAAATTTTTTAAATTATATTTGCAATAGTATTAAAATCCCAATGCTTCATGTAGGTTTTCATTTATCGTTTGTTCTGGAAAAGCAAAGATAATCCTCGGCGTATAAAAATGGATGACATTAAAAAAGCATTTCCGGCTCATTCAGAGAGTAGCATTCGTAAAAGATTAAAACAATGTGCTGATTTTAAAAGAACTGGAATGGACTCTAACTGGTGGGTTATAAAGCCAGAATTTAGATTACCTTCAGAAGAAGAAATTCGCGCCATGGTATCACCTGAACAATGTTGCGCTTTCTTCAGCATGATAGCAGCAGAGCAACGGTTAAAAGATGCCGGTTACGGAGAAAAATTTATTTTTGCCCAACAGGAGGATGATGATGAAGAACAACAATTGAAAATGGATGATGAAGTTAAAGTTGCTCCTTGGAATACTACAAGGTATAAATTTCTATTTGTTTCCAAATTCTCTCCTAGAGCCTTATTTAATATTTATATTTTTATAAAGGGCATATATTCAAGCTATGCGGGGTAAATGCTTGTTACAGCTAACAGGACCAGCAGATCCAACAGGTTGCGGGGAAGGTTTTTCTTACGTCCGAGTTCCAAATAAACCAACTGTAAGAAGTTTTATATTGCATTGCGATTGAGTTAAATTTTTTGGTAGATGTGATTTATAATTAAAATAATTTCAGCAAACGAAAGAAGAACAGGAATCTCAACCAAAAAGGACTGTTACTGGAACTGACGCAGATTTACGTCGCCTTCCCTTAAATAAAGCAAAAGAATTATTGCGTAAATTTAAAGTTCCAGAAGAAGAAATCAAAAAATTATCACGATGGGAAGTTATAGACGTTGTACGGACATTATCGACAGAAAAGGCGAAGCAAGGTGAACAAGGTATGGATAAATTCTCGCGTGGTAATAGATTTTCCATAGCTGAACATCAGGAACGTTACAAGGAAGAGTGTCAGCGTATTTTTGACTTACAAAATAAAGTTTTAGCAAGTTCTGAAATTTTATCTACGGATGAAGATGAGGACTCATCAGCATCCGAAGAGTCAGATATAGAAGAAATGGGTAAAAATTTGGAAAATATGTTAGCTAATAAAAAAACATCAACTCAGTTGTCACTTGAACGAGAAGAGCAAGAACGACAAGAGTTGTTGAAAAAAATTATGGAAGGACAAAGAGATAACGTAAATTCAAATAAAAATGATAAAAAAAATAAAGATGAACAACAAGCTCAAAATTCAAATCAAGGAAGAATTTTAAAAATTACGCGAGTTTTTAAGGATTCTGAAGGAAAAGAATATACAAGAGTAGAAACAGTGCGGAGACAACCGGTAATAGATGCTTATGTCAAGATTAGAACGACCAAGGATGAAGCATTTATCAAACAATTTGCTACTTTGGACGAACAACAAAAAGAGGAAATGAAACGAGAGAAGCGACGCTTACAAGAACAACTTAGGCGTATTAAAAGGAATCAAGAAAGAGAACGTGCTGCTCAGCTACAGAAGGAGCAACAAATGGCTCCGGGGGGAATACCTACTAACTTGGGAGATCCTAAAACCTCAAATTCTACACAACCGGGTGCACCTTCTAGTAAAGACATTAGCCCATCGCGCCGCAAAATCAGACCAATCAATAAGGATTTGAAACTTAAATGTGGTGCATGCGGTCAAGTAGGACATATGAGGACAAATAAAGCCTGCCCTCTTTATACGGGTTCATTTGGTCCAACGCCACCAGTTAATGTCGCTGTAACAGAGGAACAGGAAGAAGAAATTGAAAAAGAATTGAATGCTGATGATGAAGATCTGGTGAATGTAGATGGAACTAAAGTTAAGTTGAGTAGTAAATTATTAAAACGCCATGAAGATGTGAAACGAAGAACATTACTATTAAAAGTACCTAAAGAAGCTGTTGGCAAGAAACGAAGGCGCTTAGGAGAGGATTTGCATTGTGATTATTTAAAACGTCATAACCAAACAGCGAATCGTAGAAGAACAGATCCAGTTGTCCTTTTATCTTCTATATTAGAAGAAATTTTAGGCGATTTGCGGGATATGCCAGACGTAACGCCTTTTATGTTTCCGGTTAATGCAAAGGTATATGAGTATATTGAGTACGCAGCTGTTTCAAATTTAAAGCTTCAAACTTATATGTTTTTATTTTAGTTGGTTCCAGATTATCACAGAATTGTAACCAGGCCAATGGATTTGCAGACTATACGGGAAAATTTAAGACAGAAACGTTACCAAAGCAGGGAAGAATTTCTTGCTGACGTCCACCAAATAGTTGAAAATTGTAGCGTTTATAATGGTAATTTTAATAATAAATGAGGCGATCATTTATAACATATTCGTAATAACTAATATTTTGATTTTCTTAGGGCTCAAAAGTCCTCTTACAATGGCTGCAGAAAGAATGTTACAAAAATGTGTTGATCGTTTAGCTGAAAAAGAAGAAAAGTTAATGTTATTAGAAAAAGCTATTAATCCATTGTTAGATGATGATGACCAAGTAGCATTATCGTTTATTTTTGAAAAATTAATTAATGGAAAATTGAAAATGATGCACGAAGCATGGCCATTTTTAAAACCGGTTAATAAAAAACAGGTTAAAGACTACTATTCCATAATAAAACGACCAATGGATTTAGAAACGATTTCTAAAAAAGTTGCAGGTACGTAACATTAATGAGAATCCTTATTTATATTAATCTATTAAATAAATTATTGAAAAATTTTTGCAATTTAGCTCATAAATACCATTCCCGTGAGGAATTCTTAGCAGATATAGAGTTGATCGCGATCAATTGCGAAACATACAATGGTAGTGAATCAACTTTCACTAAAAATGCTAAAGGCATTTTGGAATATTCCAAAAATGCTCTTAATGAGCTGGGAGAACATTGTGCTCAGTTAGAAAAAAATATTGCTGAAGTACAGGAGAGAGCTAGAGCAAATGCTGATCTTGAAGGAGTTTGGGAAAATGATGATCAATATGGAGAGTTGCAGCGGATAAGTAGAGCAAGTACTCCGGAAAATGAGTTTGTTGATATTGAAGGAAATGAGAGACCACAATCTGCTGCGTCTGCTACAACACCTCAAAATCGCCCACCTAATTTAATGCCTGGTCCACCCCCGATTATAGCCCCACTACCAGAAATTAAAAGGGGACGTGGTAGACCAAGGAAAGTTCGAGATGGTAACGAAGAAGAAAAAGGTAATATGCAAATTCTGAGCTATTGTAATGTAAAATAATATAAAGTGATTTAAGTAATTTTTTCTGCAACGCTAGTAATGCAATTAATAAATTACGAACTTATTATAGAAAAGAAAATAGGTGGCGTTAAACGTGGCAGAGGACGTCCTAGAAAAGATAGTCTGACATCAAATCAAAGTAACACGCAAAATTCTGTATTGGAAGATGGTATTGCTTTTGCAACGTCGTTGAAATGTACTTTCTTGTAGTTAATGCAATTTATGTTTTAGACTTACAATGTTCATCCGATGATGAAGAATTCGAGGAAGTTACTACAGAGGATGAAAGTGTCGCCGTGGCTTTAAATCAAGGAGAAGGAATAAACGCGACATCTGTGGTCGATCCGAGCATAGTTAAAATTGAACCCGTACAACCTATTGAGGAAATGGGTGAGACAAGAGTTTCTGATAATTTATTATTTTTTTTTTTATTAATAATCAACTTTATTTTTATAAAACGCGATCATTACAAATTTTTAATGTACCCTTATAACTTTTATACTCGAAAATGCCTTTAGAGGAAAATGTCGACCAAGATGATAGTAAACAAGTGGCTGAAGCCATGGTACAATTAAGTGGTATTGGATTTTATCCACAATCACAAGGTTATTTTGTTTGAAAAAATAGATTTTTTAAAATTATTTTAAAATTTGCAGTTTATCTTTTTTTTTATTAACTTTTTTCAACTTTTAGTTTTCTTGGGCTTTTATAATTTATATTTTCTATTATAAGTAATTCCCAATATTTGACTTCAGTAGCTAAGAACTGTAAATAATTATTAGTATTATTATGTTTGCGAATTTCTTTAAAATTGCATTTCAATATTTTAGAATATAGTTTTTAGAACTTATTTCTTTTATTTATTTAGTATTGATTATTATTTTTACACTACATTCATAACTTTTTTTAATAATTTCATATTTTCTTTTGACTATTTTGAAACTGTTTTTAAAATTTAAAGAAACATCTTACATTTTTACGGAAAAGAAAATTTTAAATACGTTAAATATTTGCCTCAAATATAAAAATTAATTTACTTATCTTTGTTGTGCAAATAACAATATATTTATTAATACAATTTTGCTACTAATTAAGCTTTGATATCCTTGGGCTTTCTTAATTTTAAGTTTTGTATTATAATTTGATAAATTTCCTTGTTATAATAATGTTAACTTTTTTGAAATTTATTTTAACTTGAAATGGTTTTAATGCCAAATATTTCAATAATATTTAGCATTAAAACAAACGGAATTTTCTTAACTAACTTGCAGAAAATTTTTAAAAAATTTTAATTGCTTGATTTAAACAAAAAGGAATATGAATATTTTGCACATTAGAGAAGAAATAAAAAATCATTTGAATTATTTTAAAAACTCATCCTAATTCTCGTTGGTTTTTGCAGTTTATATATATATATATATTTTTTTTTTTATTATTATTCAGATGAAACTATGGATCTAGATCCAAATTATGATCCGTCAGATTTTCTTCAAATGCCAAATAAAATGATGCCTCCGCCTCCAGTTCAAGAAAATTCTCAAAATGTTCAAAATGATCATCTTGTGGAACAACAGCAACAACAGTTCATAAGTGATTTACAAATGCAAGGTGTCGTAAACGGACAGTTACAATTTTCATCGAATGATCCGCAATATTTACAGACACAACAGCAACTGGGGTATTCACAAGAAGAGCAATTACAATATTCACAGCCAGAGTCAGAACAATATGAGCAGAATCAACCAGGTTATCAGCAACAAGAGGAACAAAACTCGTATCAAACTGATATTGAATTGACTCAAAAGGAACAACAGCAAGTATCTTATGATCAGGAGGAACAGCAATCACAAGAAGTTTTTGAACAGAAGCAACAGTATGATTCAACAGAAAATGATGATTCAAAAAATCAAGCCCCAAATCAGTCAAATATACATGATGATTTAGCAATATCTGATAGTGATGAGGAAGAAAATAAATTTGTATTAAAAGTAGCTAAAGAAGAAAAAGAGGATCAAGATGATGATGCATTGTGGTTTTAAGAATGAAACATATCTTTATATTAAAGATGGAGACTGCCTTAGTCCATAAAGTTTTTTTTTAATGAAAAATAAATTTATTTTAGAAAAAATTTCAAATTTCTTTATTATTATTTTGAAATTAGGAAAATCTAGAAATGCGAGGAACTCAATAGCTCTGTCATTCGAATTTTAATAATTGTTATTTTAAGCCTTTAAGTTAAGTATGATTGTAAACTTTGAAATAAGAAAGTGTAAATAAATCACTAATTTAAATTGTTAGTTTTTATTTTTAATTGTTTGCTGTTTTACTTTATATATTTTTGAAAGAACGAAAAAAAAACTAATAAGTATTTATATTTTGTGTTTTTCGCAATTATGATTCAAGTTGCTACCAAAAAACCAAGAACAGATTACAATTTTTTAACTTATCGTAAGGATAGAACTTTAAGGTATGTCATTTATATTATGTTGAGAAATCGCACATTGAAAATTTTACTTCTTTTGTCATTTGAAAATCATCAATAATAATTTGAAATGCTTTAATTAAAACAAATATTAACTTTGCTTTACATTTATTCACATATTTATAAAGTGTATTATTAAGTTTTGTACTAATTATTGACATCCATTTTGCTAAAAATTTGTTTTTTTTTCTTCAAAAAGTAGTTTTATGTTTAACATAGAACTTTTGAATAATAATCAATCACCCAAATTCTTTTATTCGCATCACTTGTCGTTACAAGATTTGTAAATAACAACCCATCACATCAAGTAATGCGACTAACAGAATGTGGATGAATGTCTATGGTATCATATATATGGTATAATATATTATATGATCTACTTCCTTATTTATGTGCAATAAAAAAGAAATTTTTTACAAAAAATTTAAGAATTTCTACTTGAATTTTAAAAATTTGAAATTTTGCATTGTTCTTACATATGTTCTTAATTTTTAAGATAATAATTTCAATTAAAAAGGAATTGTAATTTTTAAAAAAAACCTTTTTGACCTTAGTGATTACAAAATTTAATTAAAGACTTATTTGTTTTCATTTTCTTTTTCTTTACATGTAGTTCGAATTTTTAATTGCTAGTCATTAAAAGTTTAATAGACTACATAAGATCAAAGATAAAATGATGATAAGTGTTTATAAACTTAAAAACAAATATCCTGTTTTTTTATATGTACATATAAACATACAACTGTACGTAAATGAGCAGACTGTTTTATCTTTTATGATGATGTATTTAATACTAAATTTTAATGAATGATTATATAATATGTTAGAATTTTATCAACAATAAAAGTGTTATATAGTACCAGGGTCAATTTGATATTCAAGGAATAAGAAGTTAATGTTTACTTGTCTCCACATTAAAATGAAATAAATTATGAATTTATTCAAAAATTTTTTGGAACAATATTTTCCAAACAACTCTAAATTTTTAGGTACTTTCGTTCAAAAATTTTCAATAATTTTGTAATAAAGAGCTTTAGCTCTTAGTTTGCTCAATAACTCCCAAACCTAAAAAATGGCATTTGTATTTTTTTTTTTATTTATTTATGGCTCCAAAAATATTTCAAAATAATACAATAATACAATAATTAAATATAAGTATATACAGAGTATTTTTTTGCTGCAAATACTATAAGTTCTTTTTAAAATCCAAAAACAACAATGAATGACTGTATTAAATAATTATTTTTAATTTAATTTAATATGAATTTTTATAGAATTGGGAAACGAATGGCAAAAAATTAATTTTCTAATAGATTTATTTTAAAAACTATATGTATATAAAAATTATTCTGATTCTAATTTTAAAACAATACTGACACTTCAGATTTATTTTCAGTTCTTCATGTATTCAAGAATTAAGTGAAATAAGAAATGAAATTTTTTGCATTGTCTTATAATTGTCAGCTTAGTACTGAATATTTTCAAAAATACAAGATTTATTTTAAATCATCGTAATTCGGAACCTATTGAGCAGAGAATTTTGTGTTCATAGAAAAGTTTTGTTTAGTTATGAGGGTTTATACAACGGTATAAAGTAGTAAGTAGATCTTAGAAACTACACACCCTGTATATGTATTATGACATATATACTTATGTAAGTATATATGGAATTATTTTGTTTAAACATCACACGAGCATGCTCTCATATTTGTTTTTATAACATTATTTATTTTCTCTTATCCTCTACACTATATACATAATCTATTATGTATTTGAAAAGGATCATGTGTGGGATTACCTTAAAAACATATAAAAATGCAACGAACCTGTAATACGGAAAACATTTTAACTGCGGTCTTTAAATCATACGAATCTCCTTGAACGCTATAAGTGCATTTAAAAAATTTTTCAAAATGGAATTTAAATTAAAAATTCTATTTTTAATTTTCATTTTTAGTTACATAAATTTGGTTAAAGGTAAAAGTATTTAAATTATATGTATTGAAAAAATTGGTTTAATTTCTAAAAAATAAAAATAAATTATTTAAATATTTTTGAAATAATTCAATTTAATTAAAGTAATTTTCTTAAGTGTCTAACTGTAATAATAAGAACAAAATTTATTCGTGCTTATTCTAAGATTTGGTAAAAAAAAATTTCTTAAATGTTCCAAAAACATTTGGTATTTTCAACCAAATTATTAAATTGAATTTTTAAAGTATATACGTACATAAATTTAATTCTAATTGTTTTCGAATTAAAAATTAATTGTTTAATAGAAAAAAAAAATTAAAATCCCAAATGAAATGTTTGCGAATTGGGGTGAAAGGTATATAATGGGGCGGATATATTCCATTAAAGATTATATATTGGGGACTAATTTAAAATAGTGGAATTCTAATTTGTATAACATTGGAACACTAATTTGCATGGAATTTTGTGTATTCGCAGAGCCACTTTGGAGTATAATCTAATTATTATTAAATGAGTGGCTCAAAACTAAAGTGAACTAAATTCTTTACACTAAAACAACTTTTCTTTATTGTTTTAATCGATCATCCGGTATACGGTTACCGATACAGTTGACATTAACTTAAATTTTTCAAAATAGCTTTACTGTTCTTTTTTTGACAAAAAATTTTCTTTGGCTCTTTATTATTTTAAATTTATTTAAACAACAAAATGGCCTAAACCTCAGATGTAAACTCTAATTTAGATTAGGTCATTTTGATTCTAATTAAAATTACTAAAATTTTATAAAATTCATGTAATTTTATTAAATAATATCAAATATTTTCTGTAGTAAGCTACTATTGCAAAATCAGTGGTTTATTTTCGTTCTTTAGATCAAAATTACTTTAGACTAACGCTTCAATGGAAGTCATAAAAAACGAGCCCATAATTTAGTTTGTATGTGTATATAATGAGATTATATAAGCATATTTAAATTTTAAAAAAATGTTTTTTTTTTTCTGCAATAAAACGGAAATATGGTTTAGACCATTTTGGGTCTAAGACAATCTAATAATGTTTTTGAAATTTCGAACACTAAGAAAAACTTTACAAGCAAATACATTGTTAATTATAAAAGTAAAATGAGAAGAATTTTCGGATAACACATAATGTGCATACATATGTATTAATTGATATATGTACATAATTGTACAAAAATATGGATTTTAAAATATAAACAATGAAATGATAATGAAAAAATAAATTTTCCTACATACATAAGCCCACAATAAAGAATTCACTTTTATCTTTACTTTCCAATTGATTGGTTGATTTGTGCATATTCAGAATTTTTGTTTTGAATTAATTTTTATGACCTATAATAGAAGAAAGAAAAAGTGAAATCAGTCCGACATTGAAGGTATTTCATATGTAACATATTTTTACAAAAAACATTAAGTGGGAGTTTAATTATAGTTTATCATGATGAATTCTAAAGAATATTCAATAGAATTATCATCCAATTGTATTCATCCAAAATGAATACAAGTACGTACGTACACGAATTGCACTTTGTATTAGGCAAATTTGCTCTTTTGCATTTATTCAACAAATTAGTGCTAAAGTAGCAACCCCGATTATATAACCACTAAATTAGCAAGCACGATTACATAAATTTTGCCTTTGATGGTTAACTTAGATGTATGCGGAAGAACGTCAATCAGAATCAAGCCATAATTATTTCTATTTGAACACTTTTTCGTAATTGAATTAAAACATTTGAATACCTTGGAAATATGAACAAAAAAAAAAAAATAATAAAAAGAATGCAGAATTTTAAAGGTTTTAAATTTTGAGAGAATCTTATGGAATGATTATGTTTTGCAAAATTTTCTATATTGGACAGAGAATAATGCGGCACCTTGTTTGGATCGAGAATTTGGAATAGTTTGATTTAAAAAAAAAACGTTAAAGTGCCATAATCCACTTTTTATTTAAAAATTCTAAAAAACTGTTTGTCCGTAATTCTTAAAACTGATTCCTTGACAAACTTTCAATGAATGTATCGTGCCCTACAGTGTGTAATTTAGGTATTTTTAGAGTTTTGTTTGAACAAATGGTAATAAGCATTTTATACATTTTGCTTAATATTAATTAATATAGGGACATACATTATGTAGATTCATATAAATTACCCGGTAAAAAACTTATTAATCTTAAGAACAAATAAATAATGCATAATTTCAGGGGCATGTAGTACTTATGGGCATTCATGTTATGGAGGTAAGAATTAATATTCTTTTAATAGCTACTGTTTTTTAAAAAAATAATTTTGAATGTTTTTCTTCTTTAAAATAAAATGCAAAGCTCACGGAAAGAAATCTATGGGAAGAAATACACCAAGATTATCAGAAAATTATAAAACTGAAGAAGAATTTTTAATGTCGGATGACCCAAGTTTAGAAGAAAATGAAATGAAACCAAAACTTCAAAAATATTTACTATTAAATATTTTATTAGATAAGGTAATTAAGTGTTCAATAGATAAGTGTAATTAATGTGTTCAATAAATTTAATATTTCACTGCTATACATATAGGATGACCTAAATGATAATATTAACGAAATTTCTGAAAATATACAAGAAGAATCGAATAATGGAATTAAGGAAATTGAATATAATATTAATAGACCAAGTTATAAATTTAAAACACCATTGAAAAAACGTAAATTTTTGTATCGTATTAATCAACCGGTAGCAGCAATTAAACCAATCAGTACATTTGATGATTTTGCTAGTCCATATAAATTTTTGATTAAACCGAAACGTATACAAAATCATGATTTTATTAACAATCAATTACAGAGTATCAATTCAATGGATGACCTGAATGAAACGAATATTAACTGAAATTACCTAAAAGTTACAACATGCATATGTATCAGTAATTTCTGTTTCAGTTTACTATCATCAATATCATCAGCACTACTATGCTAAAATTAATTTTGAAAAAATCATGTTATTTTTTATATATTAGTATACGAATTACCGGTAAATTTCCTCTTTTTATATAAATTTTATGTAAAATTGGTTATTGTGCTTGTAGATGCCATAATAATTTAAAATATGAATATTTTGTAATAAATATATAACAATATATAATATTTAATATGAATAATATATAACACTACAGTGTACAGAACAATGCGTATATGGGTAAAATATTTCTTCATGACTCTATAGAGTATAATAAGTATAGTTCCGGTTCCGGACTATCCCCATATTTAAGGGTTTCAAATGGTTTATACTCTGTGGTATTGTGAAAAAATGTTCTCCTACTCTTACTGTAATTGATGTATATAATATACTATTGTTATAAAAAAAATAGTAATACTAAATTCTTGTAAATTTTGTTAGTTATTTATAAGCGTACTGTAAAAATTATATTATAAATATTACCGCATTATACAGAATTTAATGTTAAATATAGCTAGTTGTGTAAATTTGCTAAGCTCAATATATAACATAGTATTAAAAATAATAAACATTAATTAAAAGTAAACAAGGTTAGAAAAATTAAAAGTTGCTTTATTTATTGATTATTATAAACATTATATTATTATGTAAAACATTGCTGTTAAATAAATGTAAAAAAATTTAAATTATAAATTAATCAGAATTTATTTTAATATAATCATTATATTATAGTATATAACAAAAATCAATAACGTCTATATTAAAAGAAGAAGAAAAAGAAGAATATTTTTAAATAAACTTAATGCATTAATGAGTTCTTAATCAACTTGAAAGAAGAACTTTTGTTCTCATAACCTTTGTATTAATGAATAATTTTTTCTTGTAACATAAACTAGGTAATCCATTACTAATAAATAATTGTACATATTTTTATAGAGAACATTACAATTATACCACATGTATAACAATTATATATAGTAAAACGTAAGTATAACAATAAGTAACATATGAATAGTTAGTTAGTTGTTGTTAAAAGGAGTTCTCAACTAATATTACAAATATAAATGTTAAACAAATTCTTTGAAATCAAGAATTTCTACTTAATTAAATCGATTTAGGGTTGGGAAGTTTACGAAAAAAATATCAATATGATGTATTGAATGAGTTACATAACTAACAATTTTAACATAATTAACAATTTATTGATATTTTCGATATTTCTAATTACTTTAAATGTATTTATACTGTTACTTTAAATGTATAGGAACTTTCCCTTTCCAATTAAAGTTCAGAATGCATATTCTTTAATTTTGTGCAGAGAAACGTGAACTTCAAAGATTTTTTTATTTATTTATTTATTATTCACCTAAAATTTATACATTTTTAAAAAAATAAACGTCTCCAATAAGATTAATGCTTCTACATTAAAAAGCAAAAAAACAGAGAATCATTTTGTGAAAATTTTGAATATGTTTTAGTATTGAGTACGAAATGTGAATAAATCAATAAATACAGATTCGATATTAGAATTTTGAATATAAAGTAAATAAATTTTGTTAAAAATTTTTCGATATAATATCAATATTTCGATATTATTGTCCCAACTCTAAAGCAATTAGTAATTTCAAATCCAAATACTATAAAAATGTTGTTTGGTTTTAAAATTTACATAAAACACTATATTTTTTATGACATCAGCTAACGTCATATAACGATTAGTTGCAATATGGAATACATCAAATTCAAAATGAATCTAAGAAACTTTCCCAACACCCTCTATACTCATTATAATTGAAATAAGTTCTTACTAATTTTTATTTAAAAATATCTACATAATTTTTTCTTTAATTTAAATAAATAAATAATATATAACTAGTTTATATTATATATAAGAAAAATTATAAAAATTATGTAATTATTTCTTTGTTGTTGTTTATTTGAATTCGCTTGATAAATTTGCTTTATTTAACAGAGTAGCGCATATGCTTTCTAAAAACGTTGGATTCAGCACGTTCTCGAATTTTGTATAGTCAGCAACTTTGAATTTTTATGTTATTGTTTTAGTATCTAGATTTTCCGGTAGTTAACTATTATAAGTTTTTTATTTTAATTGTAAATGTTTGTAACCTTATAAAAAATAAAACGTAGCTCTGGAAATAAATGATTTTTTAAATTTTTTATTCGTGTATCACAGTTTTAAATATGTATAACAGAAATTATTGAAAAATTTATGAATGTTTACAAAATTTCACGAAATTTCTAACAAAAAAGTTGTTTTACAAATTGATTAAAAGTTGAAGAAGTAGAGAGATAGCAGTATTCAATCATATTAGTTCTTACAGTTGCTAGGAGTTAAATATTGACTAATGTTGGAGAATAAAAGTGCTATTCAAGAATGTTCTAAACAATATTCTAAATAATGTAAAAGATTTTAGTTGTGAGCATATTTTTATTTAGTTGTGATTTGTGCTAATTGGCAAATATACTAACAGCCCCCATAATTTTTCATGTTCATTAAAATTGTGACTAAAATAAAAATGAATAATTCAAAATTATAATATTGTCCAAATTCAAATTATAATATTGTTGTCCAGGATACTAGTTGAACTTTTATTTTAATTCATAATTTTCCTGGTTGTCTACAAAAGAATATTTGCGCTCATGCAATATATTGGTTTGCAATATATACATATTTGGTTGGATGCACACACATGTACACAATAAAAATATAAATAAAAATGTAGTTTATATTATAATAACAGAATCCCACTTCAAATTTTATAAAATAAATCTGGCGATTCCCTAGCATTTATTATTTCCTATATTTCTTTTGTATTTTTGGTCTTTTGTTCTTTCTTTTTAATTTAACCATTTTGTTGTGTAGGTATGTAATTTTTATTATTGTATAATCATTTCTCTGATAAAAAAATATCAAGGATTTTCCTTTAGAATGATTTTTTTTTATCGGCTCCATCGTTTTACGTCTTTCTTTAAAATTTCTTTTAAAGGTTGAATTGAAAAAATATAAACTTTTCCGCTATCATAAACTCTTTAAAATTGAATTTTACTACAATAAAATATAAAATCAGCAATATTTGTAACTGGTTTAATTTCTGAAAATTTCATGGTTATTTTCATCTCGTATATTATTAATTTACATACACGTACATACATAATGTATATGTACATAGGATATAATGTTTACGGAAAAAATAATTGTAAATACAGTGATTCTAAATTGTTTTAATAATTTTTATGATTAGTGCATATATTCATTAAATTTTATTAATGTAATTATGCTGCCGGTGATATTTTGCAATTTTTTTTAATTTTGAGGTTAGAGTTCAATTCATTTTTACTTTAAATTACTGTTTTTTTAGTAGATTTTGGGGAATTTTCACAAAGTTACGAGTATTTCTTTTAAGTTCTTTCGAAAATTCTAAATTCTCTTTTCTTGTTTTAACACCAACACAGTTTGTGTAAATCAGAATGTAATATTTTCTCTCGATTTCAATTCAAAATAGTTTTTTTGAATTAAATGAAATAAAAATGGCCCTCATCATAAAAAAAGTGTTGCAACACTGTTTTTGTTTTTTTTTTTTTTTGATATTATGAAATTTTGGCGTGTTCAACAAGATACACTTTGCATAAATAACAATAAAATATTTACTGTGTGTAATGAATAAAGATGTGCATTGCATACTTACTATTGTGATTAATTTCCTGCATATTTATGTATTGATCTTCTTATGATGAGAAGAAAGAAAAAAATAACTGGTTGAATAAACTAGAAATAAGTGATGCGTGTTTTTCATATAGGTGTTGGTATATACTTATATAATGTATATAAGTACATTTATATATACATATTTGTATGGAGATCATATGCATATTTTTCACACAAAAATGAAAAATAAATTTCTGAAATTTTTTTTTAAAACGTTGATTTTTAGAGGTCGTCATTAATAGAAAAAGCAATTATAATAACAAAAGATACAAATATGTATATATATTATTATATTACAGTCATACGTATGTGCATAATTATGTATATACATATGTAGAAGTTCGTATATGGGAATACAATTCAAATATGTATGTTTTGTTTGAGAAAATAGGTTGGAATGAATAGACTTCAATAGCAGCTTATTAATTTGTTATACATTATAAGAATATAATTTTGCACTACAATAAAAATATACGTAATTTTTCAAATGAAGCCTACATTTCGCTTGCAGTGTTTTCATAAATATATATCAAGAATATCAGGAAAATATCAGAACCTTCAGAATCAGAACCTTAAATTCGCATTTTAATAGTTCAGTAATTTAGTTCAGAATTTTCGCAAAATGAAAACAACAAAAATTTAAAATTTAAGAAAAATGCATTTTAATTAAAATCCCAAAATCATTTCATCTCATAAATTTCTTTAGGCTTTAAATTTTAAACTTAAATTAAGTTAAAAAGTGTAAAAAGCAAAGATTGTAAAAAAAAATTAAATATACAATCGATATTTAACAAAAAACTTTATTCCACCCTTATTGTTATTTTATTTAAATTTATTTCTCAATATCAATCGCGCCTTGTATAAACTCAAACAAGTCACAAGCGTGACACCAAACCCTATAATTATGTACGAGATACTTTTGATTGCTAATATAATTATATCTTTCCATAATAACATACAAAATATAGCTTTCAATAAATTTCTTTGTAATTTTTACTCTCTCTATATAACAGTTCCAATTTTTATTTTCAATACATAGGTACATATAGCTACATTATATTATACATATTTTTGGTTTTCATCTTAACATCATTTTCAATCGACCATTCAAACAGTTAAGTTGACTTAACGAAGACATTTCTTTTTTATTTTGTATACATGTTCAAGTAAAAAAATTTAAATAAATTTTCATATTAATTAAAATAAAAATAAAGCAAATAATTCTGGGAAAAAAATATTATATAATTATTGCGAAAGTAAAAAAAATAGGTAAATTATTATGAAATTTAAATTTAATTGAAAGTGATTGTCAGAATTTAATTTCAAAATTGTTTCAAAATATTCCGAATATTTATGAATTATGTAATAGGAGTGAGTATAGTGGTTATAAGATTATAATTTGTGAAAAAAATTCATGGATGTGTTAAATTAATTTAAATTAAAAAATCAAATAATTTTATAATTTAATTAATATGTTCCCACTTGTGTGTATAATTTGATCTCCTAGTTTCAATAATTTAAAGTTTTTAATATATTAAATAATTTTTGTAAAATAAATTTTAATTTTTCTCTTTAAAATCAAGAATTTTTCCTTCGACCCGAACTTTTTTATTCAATATTCCAATACTTATAATTGTGACTTTTAATACGATGCATGTAAGTTTTAACTAAGCAATAAGTGATAATTAACTGTAATCAAAGGCTATTATAATCTGGCTAACAATCCAGTATAAAATTATATATATGTAGTTTTTGCTAAAATTTAATTAAAAGTTATAAGAGAGTTCTTATTTATAATT